TTTTTTTTGTTTTGTGTTGTTATTTTTTTGGGGGGTGCGTTAATTTTTGTTTGTTTTTTTGTCAATGTCCTTAGGTGTTTTTTGTTTTGGTGCCTTTCGGGCGCACATGTTTTTCGCTCTTTGTTTTGTTTTTTCGTTTTGGTGCCTTTCCGGCGCGCGTTTTCATTGTTTGTTTCTATTGTTTTTTTTTTTAACTTGCGTTTTTTGTTTTTGTTTTTCATGTGTTTTTTTACCTTTTTCGTTTGTTTTTTTGATTTGTTTTTTGTGGTTTTTGTTTGTTCATTTGTTTGTTTATTGTTTTTGGTTTGTTTTTGTTTATTCTTTTGTATTTTGGTTTTGATTGTTTTTTTGTTTTTGCTTTGTGTTTTGTGCCTTTTGTAATTTGGAAAACCATCAGAGATAACCCAAGTGGTTTTCTTATTTTTTTCTATTGACAACCAGTTTTTTGTGGTTTGTGGGGTCCTTGGAAGGGCTCCTGTATCCAAATGTTGCATCAAAGTTGTTGTTTTCTGCCGGTCTGATTTCATTCACTCACTAAATGGAATGGACATGTCTTTCGAGGGTTGGGCTAGGATCTTTTTGGAACAGGTGTGGATCCGTTTGCGCGAAAGAAGCAGGCGTGTTCGAAGTCACATCTTCATACCCGCTAGCAGGGGCATAAGTGAAATCGTGAAATGTCATCTCTGGCGCCATGAGGTTCCTCAGTCTCTCGCTTCATCCTCTCCTTCGACGCACGCGCCTTGCCACCCTTGGTGCTGCGCACCGTCGAGGACGCAAAAGTTAAAAACTATGCCAAGCACCTGCCCGCTACAGGGCCGTGTCGATGTACCTCAGGATGTGCTTTCAATAAGGGTTGGACAGTGAGAAAACCTCCCTGAGACCAGGCTCTATGACCTCTAAGGGATAGGATTGACGGTTGCATATTTCTGTTCTTTCGGGAGGTCAGTTGTCCAACCCTGAGCTAGCATGTACTTTTTATGATTTGGTATGTGTTTGCCTGAATTTCTGTTAGTTCGAGAGTCTGATTGAACGAAGATGGTGCGACCCTGGGATGGCTTGGAGCTTGGGAACTGGGCTCCACGCAAAAGTCTTTGTTGGTGGATGTAGCAAAACTCTCAAATCCTGCCACATTCCTCAACACTCGAGGAATGTGATTGTGTGGGATGCCACCTGCAGCTTCTTCGGTCCTGGTCAGAATGACCTGCAGTTTGATGGATGTCGCTCGCGCCGTGTGGGGTTGCAAGCGCAACGGGTGATGCCCATTTTTGGAGAAGATGGTGTCCATGAGGACTCCTGCCTTTTGGTTTGTGTTCTCGCCATTGAGACGTCATACGTGATTATATATATATATATAATATCATGTGATCTATCATTCTTTCTGGGGTGAATTCCTAGGGCCGTTTTGCAGCTACTGCTTGGTGGCACAAGAAACCACTTCCTTTGACTCACCACCCTGTGAGGAGATTGGCATCTCTCATGTCTGGGACATCTCATCCGTTTGAGCAAGACGGGTGTGTCGCATGAAGGAGCAGGGCAGAGGTGTCCATCGAGTTTCGGCGAAGTAGCGCCCGAATGGCCAATGTCAATTAGTTGCGTCACTCCAAGTGCTTGTATGTCAAGTGCACCGTGCCTTCTTGGCAGAGCAATGCAGTGTGGTACGCTGCGAGAAAAGTGTGATGTGACCTTGCTGGTCTAAAGCATATACAACCATGGAATGATGGTCATTTGCGTTCCGCTACAAACGTATGGTTGTTACGCTGTGTTTTTTCCTTGGTTTGCTTGCCCTTCGGCTAACGCTGCCTTGGTGATTTGCACCTGCTCCCTTTTGCACATTTCGCGGTGGCGTCACGCGGCGTGAGGTCAACCCGTCGACACACTCCCATCCAAAGCACCCAGAGCACCAGCCTGGCAGGAACCACGTGAGAACCGCTGGAAGAACCCAATACTTCAGGTTTCTCACGCGCGTCTCTTTTTGCGCCGAACACTGCCTCCGCTGCTCTTTTGCGAGGCCGTGGAGGATCGATATTTCTTGGTGGGCTCGTTCAATCGTTTCTGAACCGCAACGAGGGATCGGAGCTGCAAAAGAGAGGTGATACATTGCAAAAAGAAGAACCAAGAAAAGTATTGTTTGGTGTGTTCATTTATGTTCTGATATTATATATATATGTGTGTTTTTGTATTTAAACCGTATTTGGGGAATGATTAATACAGTTGGCTCATATTTTGGGCAAGGGTTTTGACCACCATCTAGATTCCCCAATCTATCAAACAAGTCGTCCCCAGGTCAATGTCGTCCATCCATCTCAGACCATCGCACTCCCAGCCAAACCCATTGCATCACCATCATCATCGTCATCATAATCTTGGAATCGTCTTCATCCTATGTAAAGCGTCCTCTCGTCCCATGCTGGCTAGGCCGGAAAAACCGTTTGTCCCCCGTTTTTACCGCTCGCTGCCGAAAACCGCCCAGGTTGGGGCTACTCCTTTGAGCCCTACGAACTGCGCTCGAACGGTGACGCCTTTGAGGCGGAGGCCGGAGGAAGCCGAACGCCTGAGTCTGCAGACCCTCAAGACGAGGGTCGCGGGGGAACAGACACATTTAGATTGATGCTCGCAAGAGCTAAATCAGTTGTGGCAGCCCACTCTCGTAGTGATTACATTACCAGTGCAGTTAGACCTTGACAGGCGAAACCCAAGGGATGCTGGGGGCCACAAGCTCAAGTGCAAGTCTGCAGAAGGAACGCTTAAAACTGCCGGTCTTCATTGGCCACAGCGGCAGTGGCAGGTCTGTGGCCCCCTGCTTGGTTAGTTGAAAATTAATAAGAGCACGAATTATCATGCAATGGTGACTGTCCTTTGGTACAGGTGTGGACACACACACACAGGGCCGTAAGTCGGCGCTTGCTTTTTTTTGGCAAGGAAAGAAAGGAAAGGTGCAAGGGGTGCGAGGGGTGTGGGCAGGGTGTGCGTTGACTAAACAAGCCTAAACGTCGACCTAACAAGCCTGAAGGAAAGCCCAAGCAAACGGAAAACCGAAGGCGTTGACGAAAAGCCGTAAACGGGGCTCCCTTGACTAAAAGGCTTGAATTACACAAAAAGCCTCCAGAAAACGAAGGAAGACCTAGAACACGACGAGCAACAGCAGGGGAGAAAGAACCGACAAGTCCTATGGCCTATGAATCCTTGGCGGCACGTCCTGACATTCTCTAAGTAGATCTCAGTGAGCCCTGCGGCATACAATCAGCATTTTGAGTTCCTGAAGAAGTCCACGAGCAAAACGAGAGTTGTCTGTGGGGTTCTCCCTTAAGATATGCTGCGCCCCTCGATGGGGATCACACCACAGCCCGCAGTGGGACTCTCGCAAGAGCTAAATCAGTTGTGCAGCCCACTCTAGTGATTACATTAACAGTGCAGTTAGATCTTGACAGGCGAAACCCAAGGGATCCTGGAAGGCTTTAAACGGAAGTGAGGCCAAAAGCTCAAGCGCGAGTCTGCAGAGAAACCCAAAGGATGCTGGGGGTCTTAAGCGTAGGTGAGGCCAAAAGCTCAAGTGCAAGTCTGCAGCAGGAACGCTTAAAAAATTGGTGCAGGTACGTTACCTGCCACTGCCGGTCTTCATTGGCCACAGCGGCAGTGGCAGGTCTGTGGCCCCCTTCTTGGTTAGTTGAAAATTAATAGGAGCACGAATTATCATGCAATGGTGACTGTCCTTTGGTACAGGTGTGGACAAACACACATGTCACACATTTAGGTTGTTTTTGATGTGGGATGTCAAAGACGCTGTAGATGTGTAAAAGCCAATCTCAGTGGGGTTCGCCAGACGCTCATTCGCAAATGGATCAACTGTTCATTGGCAATGAAGTTGCAAGTTGTCTCACACAAAATCTTTTCAGCAGATGTATCACGTATTAATGTGTAATAATTGTGTAACAATGACGGCGTGGATTGTCACAAGTCCTGCAACAAGGCAAAAGTACTTCGGTCTTTTGCATCAGTCCTTCAGACTGCTTCAGCCTCACCGGTCGGTGCAGTTCTCCACGCCACCGGTCGGTCCGGACCGGTCCTCAGGTCCGAAAACGACGCCGCGGACGCAGGTGACGGTGGCCTCGGTGCCATTGAAGTTTCAGATCATTGAGAACATGCTCGAGGCCGGAGCCGAAAGGGTCCGGACGACGGTCGGGAGCTGGTCGAGCGGTTTCGTTGTTTTTTTTGAGGGGGGCGCGGAGAAGCGGGTTGCGTCTTAGATCTCGATGTATATCATATACGTCTGTCACGTAGTATACCTCGGAAAGGAAATATATAAATTAAGTACAAGGTTCCCTCCCTCCGAGACAGCTCCGAGAAGACTCGTCGAAACGTTCCCCTATGGTACCCGCGACTTGACGATTCGTTGATGCGCATTGAACCGGGCCAGAAGAAGACCAACGAACTGTTCATAGAAAGTGTGATGTTTGCGGGGTGCCCATGGTGAGATAGCAGATGAACACCTGCAAAGAAGATAGAAGATCAAATTTGTCTAATTCAAAAAGAGCCTTTGCAATGCCAGAGAATCTAGTTACATTATTTTACATTCACATTCCGGGTCATGTCTTCATGACACCGTGTGAAGTGAATCATTCACACAGGCGGATTCAGCAGCCACAGGTTTGGCAAACCCAACCTTTGCAATCATATAGGGCGTTTTTGGGGGGAACCTGTTTTCGATCTAACCTTGGGAGGCTGGTTTTGCTTAGAGATGCCGGTTTTTGGTTCACTCATCAACTGGAAAGCTATGGACACACGGACCGACCCACGTCTTCACCACAGAAACATCAACGCCTCTACCAGGATCAACGCCTCTACCCCGATGACAAGGACCAACGGTATGTCAGCCGATGTGAGTTCGTTTGTGTCTTTCAGCAATCTAGTGCCATTTTCTCAGGTGGGGGAGAACCAAACATGTGGCACACCTTTTTCAGAGCCAGGGACCCATTCAGGCAGCCCACAGGTATATCTTTTTTGAGTTACAGTAGTCAATTTGTCCTTCAAACCTTGGGGTGGTGTTGATCAGGTCGCATGCTGAGTCTAGCTCTGCCAGATTGTTTTTGTAGTCTATGTGTTCTTGAAAACTTGGACCTTTGTTGTTGTTGTTGTTGTTGTTGTTGTTGGGGGTTGTTGGTTGTTGGTTGTTGTTTGTTCTTTGTTCTTGTTGTTCTTGTTGTTTGTTTGTTTGTTTGTTTGTTTGTTTGTTTGTTTGTTTGTTTGTTTGTTTGTT